AAATTATACATTAAAATTTTAATGTTATCAATTCTTATATATATTGAATAATTTTCACTACTTCAATTAAAATCTACTACGAATATATTTATATAAACGTTTTTCTTATTTAAAATTAAATATTAAATTATTTATAAATGCATTGTGGTTATTAACAATTAATTATTAAATTGTATAAAAAATTAAAAATAGATAACATACTTATCAATTTTCTTTTAATATACTAATTATATGTTAATATATAAGTATAGATGAAGTTCATTTATATTTACTGATAAATTTAAGAAATAAAAGATCTTACTTTAGATATTTTCTGAATTAATTTAATGTATTTTCATTATTGTTCGTAGTATAATTAGAAAATCTGATAAATAATCTGAATAGTGTAATAATTTATAGTATAATAAAATTTTAGTAACACTTAAAATGTTTTATGGAATATTACTGTAAAGAATTTCAAGGTTTAATACATCCGGTATCTTGAAAAAAGAGCATGTGCTTAGATAAAAATCTCAACTGAATTAGACTAAAAACAAAACAAAGATTAAACTAATCTGTACAAAAATTTTATTAACCTAGTTTATTGTTCTAAATTACATTTATCGAGTGCATTATAATAAATACTTTTCTTTATGTTATATTTTTCTCTCAACTAATTTTCCTTTACTATATTTAATTTATTACTCTTAATAATAATATTGATGGTTGATAAATGGCCAATTCAAGATTTTTTAAATGGAGAATTAACATATCAATGAGAAAAATGAATTTACTTTTTCGCACACACACACACACACACAGAGAGAGAGAGAGAGAGAGAGAGAGAGAGAGAGAGAGAGAGAAACAAGAAATAAGTGAGAAAGAAAAGAAGAGTAACTTATGTATTATATTTTTTGATTCTTCGATTTTTTTATATGTTTATATATATATATATATATATATATATATATATATATATATATATCAAATTTGTAAATCCCTTTCATAATTTTAACTATTAAACTAATACATCTTTGTTTGCAGATTCTATCTCATGTACAGTATTAAAACATTATATTAATAAATACATGTAAGAAACATGTGTTCAGAACCGAATTAATCTTTAATCTAATTATTTCATTGAATAATAATTGAAATGAATTTTATATTAGTTTAAATTATTAAACAATTATATATTTAATAATATTTTTAATGAATTATATCTGATTGTGATATCTGAATTTAGTATTTGCATTTAATTCAAAACCAACAGTTATTGAATGTCTTATTTAATTCTGATAATTCATTTATTTTTGCTTCAATAATATTTTTATTTTAAGGTTTTTCAAATATACATTTATATTTAGACAAATTTAGCTTATAAAACATCTATACAATAAAAATAATGAAAAAAATTTTCGTATTAATTACATATATTATGTAATTACAGATGTAATAATTGTAAGTATAATTATCGATCATATTTTTATACTTAAGCTACTTCAATAACTATAGAATTTTAAATATTATGATTCTCTGTTACTCTAATCTTTAGGAACATTAAGTATTAATTGATATATTGATGATTCAATCGGTTATATGTAAATTGAAAATACATAAGCAAATTTAAAACAATTGTGTTATAAATTATTTGATTGCAATGTTCCTTTAGTTTGCAAATTAATCTTTATATATACCATCATTATTTTATCGTTATATTTTTATTAATTATAATATTATTTATCTTATTTTTCAAGAAATTTAACAGTTTTTTATATTCTATTTTGAATAAACGTATTGCATGAAAATAAAAATAAACATACTTTAAAATCAAAAAAAAAAATTTTAAACACCTTACTCGCATAATAAAATTTCTAAACTTATGTAGTTACATTTATATTATTATTGAGTGATTTTAGCCTTAATATATAATTTTGTTTTTGTATTAACTAAATTTTTAACTGCCTGATATTTTATACAATTTTTATTAAAATATTGGATGAAATAGTATTGATTTATTAGGCATTACATTTAAGAAAAGAGCCAGTTATATTTAACTATATTAAATATAAATTTTTTTTTTTTTAATATTTTATTCGAATATTGCTATCGACTTAACTGTTTTTCTCATAAATATTTTACTAGAATAATAAAGCATTTCCAGCTTATTACTATTTAAGTACTACTCTTAGAATCATTACTATAATTATATAATATATTGTACTGTGTATATTTAAAGGTATTTTATTAATATAAATTTCATAGAATTTAAACGAACTTCACCTTAAAATTTAAAAAATATAATAGTGATTTTCTAACGATCTTTCCAAAAAATCGGTTACATACATTAAATTCATTAATATTTATTATATAAATGTCGGGAAATAAGGCTCTTCGTTGCAATTGCAGATCTAAAGCTCTAAGATACTCTATTTACGATACTCTATTTTTAATATCTAATGTTTAACTAAAAATTTCATACATTTCTTTAGAAATTAATTGTGGTTTTTTCATATTTAGGTAGATGATATAATTATACATATATAAATAAACATTTATATAATAATAAAATAAAATTTTTTTTTTGATGTGTAAAGAAATAATGAACAAATGATTTCGATGAATTTATTTATACTTATTCAAAATTAATGTCCTAATTTACAAAATATTTTCTCACAATAATCTGATACTATTATTAATGTAAATATCAGTATGATAAGATTCGACGATAAAAAGCAATTGCATAGAGATAATTACTTTACGCATTAAAATTCGTCACGCATTCGTATCAAACGATCAGCTCAGTATCAAAACCTCGTATGTAATAGAAAGTTCGTGCAAATTACCTTAGAGACGCAATTAGCGTAATAATTTACCTATTTCAACATTTTTTTTGGTCTTGAATATTTACCACTGACTCATCACGTAATTCGAATTGTAAAAATTTGCTACGGTGACTAAAAATTGAGTATTGGCGCCAACCCTTGCAAGTCTAAGGGTGGGGGAACGCAATTGGACTAACAACTTTTCTGGATCGTATGTCGGAGTATGCATTAGCCTATGCATATTCTGCATAAGGAAACCCATATTTATAGTGAATTCTGGACAAGTGCCAACCATACGAAGATATTTTTGTTAGCAGACGCCGAGGAACGATGTATCGAAGATCGCCAACAAGAATGTCGTATCGATGGACAATGTATGAAAAATGAACACGCTCCAGCTTTTTGTCAGTGTCTTTTACTTAATTTTTCATAACTTTATGTGACCTGTCACAAAATTAATGATTTATCCAATATTTCTAACTGCGCTTTATTTAAAAATAAAATGTACTTGCGTTCGAATACATTTTAATTCAGCCTTTCTTTACTTTAAATCGAAAAAATATAAAGCTTTTAAACTCCTGAAATTAATAAAACAAAAAAAAAAGAGGAAAACCTTTATGAGCGGCGAAATATGAGAGAAGAAGAAGTACTAAATTTTTTTAATAAAAATCAATTTCTTTATTTTCAAAAATGCATTGATATCAGATCTCTTCATTTTATTTATTAAACACATTTCAAATACTTAACATATTTAAGTCCTCACTACAATGATACGTATATAACTATATATACCACTCACATTAATGCGTATATAACAATCGAATATTTTATAATACATGGGTTAGAGTAATCCATTTGGTCATAATTACAGTGTATGCTTACAGTGTAGTCGTAGTTAGCATTAATTTTAGAAGAGAATTACTTTAATTTTCATAATTTTAAATAAGTTGAATGTTCGTATAATTTTAATAATTCATTAAATCTTAGTTTCTTAATTTAAGTAAATAATTGAAGGAAACTAATTTGTTTTTTGAATAATCAAATAATGAAACTCATTTGCTACTTCGCTATCCTTTTTTTAATTTAATATCCATATATTTTAAAAATATTATTCTGATAATTGCTGAATGTATTATGTGTATGTGGAAATCAAGTAAATCGACTAAATTTAGTGATTATTTCAGTTTTGAATTAACTATCAGCGTTTTTTCTTACTGTAATTTTGAAATTCAAAGTGTTTCATTTTATTCTATAATCATATTTCAGTATTTGAACTATTCGATTGTTTATTTAATTAATTATAAATTATTTTACTATTATTCATTCACTTGTAAAAAATTATAATAAATAACAATACTAGGATGTGGAAATGTAACAATCATATGAAAATTAGTAATATAATATTAAAAAAATGGCGCGAAACAAATATTTGGTAAATTAGAAACACTAAAATCCATTCAATTGAAGTAACTGATTCATAAATGTCTTTCATATGATGATTAGAAGGCAATGGCAAAAATTAAAAAATTAATGTTTATAAAAAATGATTGTAAAAGATAATTAATTACAACTTATAATTGTGACGTGTCGAAACAAGTTTTAATGGCAAACGAGTAATTCACTAGTCAAAATTTAATTAAGATACTCTTGTATCTCTTCAATATCTTATTTAAATAAATCTACAGTGGAGTATGTATTTACCAATTGTAAATTCATAACTCGTTCCTAAGATTTCATCAGCATCTCATTCATGTTGACTTCGTTTACTCACAACTGCTTCTTTGTGTATTCATAGTTACTCATCGTACTCAAGGTCGTTTATTCTATTCTGAATTCATGGACACTCTCTGTAAAGAGGTGTTAAACCACCTTAGATATGGGTATGTGTGTGTGCGAGTACGTACGCGTGCGTTTCTGTCTCTCTGTCTCTCTCTCTCTCTCTCTCGCTGTGTGTATATATATATATATATATATATATATATATTTCTTACTTTATAATAATCTTATGAAAAGTAGAATTATTTATAAGATCAAATTTGATATAAACAAAAGTTAATATGTGCATAAAGTTATTGCTATATCTTACAATTTTTTTTTTATTATGCTATGAGAATTCCAAGCAACTGTAATAAAATACTTTTCTGTGTTTTTTATTTATATTCTATGTATTTTTACTTAACTCTTACTTAATTATAGGTATCGTAGGGCTTTTTTACCTGATATTCTACAGCGTTTTAGCTGTACTCTGCGCTATCTGCATGATGGGACTATTAGCGACAATAGACGAAAATAGACCAACATACACTTTGGATAGCAGTATTATAGGAACGAACCCTGGTAAGACAATGTTGATAATAATTATTGGAAATTAATATATTAATTCTTTATTGTGCAATAGCACTTTAACTATCGTATTTTATTATCGAGTTGTCATTTAAAATAGAATTTCGTATAAAAAATATTGTTAATTTGTTATTGACTATATAAAAAGCTTTATATTATTGTCAACTAACGTTAACATTCATAAATACCTTATCACAATTTATTTATATAAAATCATAAGTTTTATAATGCAATACCTACTTATATATCACTTTTTTATTTATAAAGGTCTCGGATTCCGACCAACTCCTGACAACATTAAAGAACGATCATTAATTTGGTACAGTTCGTCTAACGCAACGCAAATCAAAAGATGGGTTACTCTTTTAAATGTGTTTTTGGAAAGTAAGTGAAAATATTGTTTAAAATTTTTTTTACAATTTAATTTCTAAAAGGTACATAGCATTTAATGAAATGGAATTTTTTAATTCATGAATTACATATTTATGGGGCTGTGAGTATTAGTAAAGGCTACAACTATTGAACAATTTTAATAACCGTCTAATCGTAGATTATTAATTGAACTACTATAAATAATATCATAGTGTAATAATACTTTTAATACTATACATCTTCTTAATAGCAATGTAATCCTAGATTGTTACTTGAAATATTTTAAAGAATTGTATATTTAAAGAAATGTATTAATTCAGTAATGCATTATTTATTTTATTACATATTTTTCATTGTTTGTTTTGAATTAAAAATTTAATTAAAAATTAGAGAACAGCATTTTTCTGCATATTTAATTCAATTACATTAGACTTTAGATTAGACTTTAGACTTTTATAAAGTAAAATTTTAAGTTTATATAATATTGCTGATTATAAATACTTATAATCAGAATTATTGTTTCAACAAACTACATTTTTTAATCCAAAATATGTAATATTTGGTAAATATTTTTATTGCGAAATAATCATCGTGCAATTATCATTATTTTATTATTTTTTTTTTTAAAGAATTGATAAACTTACACACATTTTTTTATAAATCAGTTATGAAGCATAATATTTTACATAAATTTTGTTCTAACTTTTTAATTTTTTAATGTTCTTTTCATTTTAATTCATTTAATAAAATTTTTATTGCGAATTATTAAAACAATAACCTCTAATTATCAATACAATGTAATAAAACTGACTTATTTTATGAGATTATTTTACACAAATTAATTTCTTTGATTAAAGAGTACTTGAATAAAACGAAACTTATAAGTGCTGGCCGTAATCAGGTGATATGCGACTATGATAAGCCGCCAAAAAAGGGTAAAGTTTGTACTGTCGACGTGAACAGCTGGGGTCCATGCACATCAACATTAAACTATGGTTACAATAACTCCTCACCCTGTGTCTTCATTAAGCTTAATAAGGTAAGTTTGCTCAGTGTGACGCTGCCACATTATTACTTTCTTGGACGTCACAAATCTATTTCGAGACTCTACTACTACTCTCCTGCTCGGCCGAAAATCGATTGCAATTTCTGCTCTATTCTCCTTTTTCCGATGTCTCATTTCATTTATAATTCAAAGAATATAATTTCACTCTTAATTATAACCTCTCCAAAAGAGATAGTTTTTCATAATATAAGAAGCTTAACATTTCTTTGTTTCATTATTTATCTCAATTATATATATATATTTTTATGTTGTTTTTTTTGTGATATTATAGATATATATATATATATATATATATATATATATATATATATATATATATATATATATATAGATATCCATCAAATTTCACCAAAAAAACCTTATTAAAATAAATACTTTAAAATAATATTTTTTTATAAATATTATCTAATTTATTTTTACAGTACTTAACTATAGGTAAATTCTACTGTTTCATTAATACAAATATTTTGCGGGAAAATGTATTATTCCAACTGTATTAATAAATAATAAGGTATTATACAGCTTATCAAATAGATATATACATTGTTCGTTAAAAAAATCCGTTGTTGATATAAATAAATAATATATACTTACTTAATTCTCTATTATAATTCATTAAAGTTAACATTTACTATTAAGTTACCGGATCATAGCTTCATGTCAATAAAGTAAACTGAAATTCATTAAAGAAATTTAATAAGACATAAATTACTGAATTGATTTTACACTGTAATTATATATATAACAAATTGAATCGTTAACTAAAGTAACATTTCAGTTACAAATTGGAAACTTGATTATTTTAAATATATTCAGAATAAATCAATATATAGGCAATGTTATTGTTATTTAAAATAATATTCTATGCTTCACCATTTAGAATGAAAAATACCTATATTAATACTAATATTAATAATAATAATAATAATAATAATAATAATGATAATAATATAAGAATAATAATAAATATTAAATAAAAAGATAATTCCAAATTATGTCTAACTGCAGATATACGATTGGGTACCAGAATTTTATAATGATACTAAAAATTTGCCAAATGATATGCCTCAAGATCTTAAAAATCACATAAGAGGACTCGATAAATCTAAGGTAAATAAAAATTAATTACAACGAATTTCAATTACGTATATACATAAAATTATATTTACTAAGAAACATTAAAATTTGATATTAAAATACTATCATCGTTTATTCATATACATCAATTATTTCATACATATTGTTCAGGCTTACAGTTTGCATAATAGATTTAAAAATATCTAGTATATTTCCATATTTCAATAAATTTAATTCTCAAACCCATTATATTGTAATATATTGATTTATATCATTTTCAGTTAAATACAATATGGCTCTCGTGTATGGGTATAGATCCTCACGACAAAGAAGCTATTGGAGAATTGGAATATTACCCAAAGTTTCGTGGTTTCCCTGGATATTATTATCCATATTTAAATCTTCCTGAATATCTCAGCCCGGTGATAGCTGTGCATTTTAAGCGACCACAAAGTAATTAATATTTTCTATTATTAGATCATAATTTATGCTTATACCTTCTTTTTATATTTGTATTTTGAATTTGCTATAAAATAACTACTTGAGAGATAATTTTGTTTTATTAAAACGATAAAATTATTTTTTTCTAAAAATTTTAGATTTTCTTTAATGCCTTTCTAAGAATAAAATATATATTCAAAATTTTCTTGGAATAATCTCAAGCGTTTTTATGCTATATTTGAAGCAAATAAAAATTTTTTTTAGTAATAAATGTATTTAATGTTTATTGAATTTTTTTGTTTAATAATTGAAACACAATCTTTAATAATATAATAATATTATATTCTAATACAGATAATTATAATATAGAAAATAATAATATAGATAATTTTAAAATCTTTAAGATTTTTCACTAAGATTATATGTTTGCTTTGCGTAAAATTGAGCATGATATTTTTAAATGAATAATATAAAAATGTAATTTTTGAAATTATATTTACAGGGAATAAGGTTATCAGTATCGAGTGTCGTGCTTGGTCCAAAAACATTATTTATAAACACGATAAAGGCATTCAGTCTGGATCTGTTCACCTGGAGATATTGATAGATGATTAATTATTTTATATTTCAATAAAATTTAAGTATAAGTGCCTGCCTCAGCCTACCTCGCACGTCAATACATAAATACGTTTTTATTTATCCATATAATCATTACTTAATTACACAATGAACGTTGATAATCAACGTAATATTATTCATGTATTAAGTTTTATTTTTAAAAATTAAGTCTTTTTCTTCTTAGAATAGAAAAATTACTGCTAGATGCCAGTAATTATTAAGGCAAAATATTATCCAATAGCTGTAATAAATCATAGATTTACAACATCGTTTGAAAATCATTATTTGTAATACGTATAGATGTATTAAATTTCGTTTAAAGATGAATAACTGTTTAGAGATATAAAACATTAATCAATTTGGTGATTTTTTAAATAGAATGCCATTTTGCAATGACTGTTGCTTGAAGAAATCTCATTAATCATATATTAAAATAAATATTAAAAAAACATCTTAAGAGAATTTAATCCTCTATTTTTTAATAAAGACATAATAAATTTTTTCATATACTCAAAAAACATATTCATTTTTATGAAATATATTTTTAATATTTCTTTATAAATTATAGTTCTCAGTAAATAATCTGAATTTAATACAATAATAATGATTTGTAAAGAAATATTAAAATAAAAATTATTGGAAATTTAATAATTTATTCAAATTCGTTTTGTCTCTAAAATTTTTATTGCACAAATGTACTTTACAAGGTGTACTTTACAAATAATGCTTCATGGATATTAAACAATTATTTAACAAATAATACATAATTACATGATTAAGTTAGCTTGAAACATAAATTTTAGAAATACTGTACTTATATTGTAGGGAAGTTCAAAGTATTTATATAAAGAATAAAAGTAATAATATTTAATTATTTACAATGAAACAAATTAAATTTTGTTTACTCTATTTAAAAATAAATAGTATACAATAGAAAATATACTTAATTGTTTCGCATGCATATTTATTTTCAAGTGAAACATTTCATAAAATAAAGAATTGCAATACTATATATAAAAGTTCACTTACTCATTTAATTATGTAAATAATTCAATAAAATTCATAAAATTATAATGGTATAATACATCGATCAAAGACAATTATTTAACCAGTGATAGCTGAATGAGTACAAAATAATAATATGCAAATTATTAAATGTTTTCGAATACACAAATTGTTATGCTAAATATATTTAATATGAAATAATGAAGTATTTTAACATAATGAAATTGATATTACAGTTTTTTAATTTTAACTGAAGAATTTGAGTCTAAGATTTACTTATGAAAATGAATGTTAATATCATTCAAATTCATATATATATATACTATCATATGAGCTCACATTTATGTCTTCTTGAAATACTTCGATTTTCTCTTTTTATTTTTCATTAAATTTTTATCAAATAACTGAAGATATACATTAAAAAAGTCCTTTATTATTCAATCAGAAATACTAACTTATTTAAATATTAGAACATAAAAAAACATTTTTGACAGATAATTAGATTTTTTAAATATTGTAAATTTATTTTTATTATTCGGAATTTGAATATATTGGATTTCTATTTAAAACAATCATTAGTATGAACTACGTACTTTTGATTCATTGTTATTTAAATAATATATATAAAAATGTCAAAATATAAAATCATTTTTGAGTATTAATAAGAATGGTTAAAAATAAATTGTATACTATACATTTTTTTTTTAATTATCAAAATAAAAAAGTTTTATTAAATGACCAAACTTGAAAGCTTAAGTAATTACAAAATAACATTGATTTGGAAATATTCGTATCTAAGCTAGCCGTGTCGATGATTTATTTAAAAGAAATGTTAAGTATGTTGAAAAATATTAATTTATCTCGTATTTCTAATTATTTTTTAACTATTTAATAGTGAAAGCTTATTTCAGTAAAAAATTCATAAAATAAATTGAAAATATCTCCAATAAACTCATTAATATTTACATTATTTGTTAATAAACTTTTGTTATCCAAATAATACATTTGTAGGCTTTTTAAGATTTTACAGATTAACATTTTATATATTTATGTAATATTTTTTTAGTAATTACATACTGGCATAAATTATTCATACATTAAATTCTAGTATTATATTTCATTAGGCTATATTCTTTGTAATTCATTTGATTATTTATTACTTAATTTATTTATATTTTACATATAACATAAGTATTATGATGTTTTATATGCATAATATAGTACTCGAATAAGATGTTATAATTTCTTTATAATTATGTACAATTTTTATAATAAACGTATATTAAAATAATATTACTTTAATTTATTTATATAAACACTCGTACGTAATTATATAGCTGAAAATAATAGAATATTTAACTTAATCATTATGGATATATCAATGTTAGATAACTTTCTGAATATTAATCATAATAATTAATTACAAATTTATTTTTTACAATAAATATAACATACCAAATTTTAAACTTTATCAATACATCAAATGTTTTTTATATTAATTTATAATAATGTCGAATTTGACAAAACTTTAAGATGTTTATAAAAAAATATTCCATGCTCTTATAGCATACAAAGTGATTAAATATTTAAGTATAGTAATAATAATTGATAAAGCACTGTAATATCTTATTCTTCATATATAAATTAATCATAGATATAAATTCTAAGAAAGCTTGTATTTTATTTAATACATTTATTTGAAAATTGTTCGATTATATATAATAATATTTTTAATTGTATATTAGAATTAAATGTTAACATACATTTCGAATGATATTTAATCATTCATAAATTTAGGCAACGAATCGTTATTTCAGTTAAGGTGATTACAATTTTATAAATTACTTATATCAATATTGACTTAAATTTTATACAATATTAACTATATTTAATATTTAATTAGCTTTTTATGACAACTCAAATGTATCGATGTTAATAGCTTATTAATAAAATCTAAATGAATACCGAATGAAACATAAATTACAATAATGTATACATGAAAAATAATCTAGAAAAATATATATTTAATCAAATAGTTCTTTTATTTTATGTTTGCTAGAAAATGGTTCAAGAGATAAAATTAAAGACCGATAGACATCAATATAAATATTATATATGTTATTTTAATTTTTAATATAATTTTTTTTATCAAGAAAACAGAGGTAATAAATGTTATAAATAATATAATTGTTGGGTATAATAGCTATCACGATAATTAAGAAATAAATTAAAAGTGATAAAAAAAATAATTTTTGACAAATATATTGTTCAGGTATATTTTATTTATTTTTTTTGTTCGGAATTGAAAAGAATTTATTAAGAATAGTTTTGTAATATATATATATATATATATGGACTTCTGAATAATAAGATTTAGTATAGAGAAACCTGTATATAATTCAAAATTTTAGAAAATTAAATATTAAAAAATTATTCTTTCTGAAAATTTTATTTTATATATAAAACATTTATTATAAATATAATTAAACTACTAATCTATTCATCGAATAAATCATTCTTTTTTAAAAAAAAGCGAAGTTTTTTATCATTTACAATTTTTTTTTTTTTTTTTATGAAATTATCAGATCATTTGGTCGATAAAAATTAAGCAACTACGTATTTTGTAATAAACTTTTTTTATAAATAATTAATTGATTTTTCTATAATAGTTACAAATAAATTCTAACATTTTTATTTACCACTGTTCCAAATTTAAATCGAATGTTAAATTAAAATATTTCTTTTGAATGAAATACAATTACTTATTGATTTCTTCATTTAATAATAGTATTTATTTTATGTTATTTAAAAAATATACATTATAATGTTTTTTTTAAGTGTCTTTGAGATTATTTATGTTATAAAAATATCTATTTAGAAGCAAAAATATGATTAGTTTAATTATTGACATATATAATAAGAAGTAGAATTCAATAAATACAATTAAGTACCTAAATTAAAAGCAGATAAACATTATAATTCATAATCTTGAAAACGAAGTGAGCAAAACCGAAAGTTCAACATTATAAGAAAATCCAATATTATTTTCTACTATTTCCATGAAATAATGTGTTTGAACTCTTTGTCACTCTTTCTATGGAATGTATGCGATAAACATGCAAAAATTCGTTACAAATATTTGTCATTTTACATAAACTAACATTTTTTAGAATTTTAACGATTTTTTTATGCTTTATATTTCCCTTGCAAAAAATATAAAATAATTAAAACAAGCACTGACAGAAAATGTTTTATTTCAGGTTTTACATTTACATTTTTATTTGTATATATACTTGATATTAAAATAGAGATTCTTCTTGCTGAGTACTTAATAGTATGTACACTATCACGCATCATTTTTTGTATCGGCAGGAGACCATGCACTTTATACTAAGATATGTAACAAATGTTTAAAACAAATAACCAATCATCACTTCAAGAAACAGAATATAATTTTTCTTTATTCATAAATATACCAATTAATAAATCATGTAATATAATCTAATCTAACATTTAATTTAGCTTGTCGTTTATGAATAATTAATTGTAAATATTTCGTGCTTTAAGAATTTTAAAAAAAGGATTTTGAATAAAATTTTCGATCAAAATTTTTGTTACAACGTACTTAAATATAATATGAATATTCAACATAATACACACATGTATACAAACATGCATGCATACAAATATACATACATACAAATATACATACATACATTCATACGCTTATACATACATACGTACATACATGCATTAATACATTCACGTATACATGTATCACATACATATATACACACACGTATATATATATATATATATATATATATATATATATATATATATATATATATATGTATATAAATCCCATGCAATTACATATAATCAAAATACAACTGAAAAAGTAGTATAGCTTCTTTGATCAAATGATCGAATAAGATAGTTAAATATATAAGAAATATATTGAAAGTTCGTAATAGAATGTGATGTTGTGATAAATAAGATATTAATTGTATATCAAAGATGTATAAATATTAAAACTATCTTTTCAATGCTTCACTTTTCGTATTCATATAACTGAAGTAACACTAGATTTACTTATAATTTTAATCAGTTTCTTCAATTACCCTCGTGTATTTAGTATACATTTGGACCTTTGACTACAAATTTGAATTTTTAAATTGATAGTCGATAATGATCACGGAATCGTGAATTGACATTTTTTAGTGTATAAGGAAGTTTTCACTTTGTTGTTATCAAACGGAACCCACTTTATTATCACGTGATTATTTGGTTATCCTATCTAATATTTAAAAAACCTTAATATAATATAAATACCGTATATTATAGGGACAATTAAGAAAGTTATTCTTTTGACAATTTTTTCAAATAGTTATTTAACGAATCTTTAATCGGACAATAACACGAATAAAATAATATGTAAAAATTAATAAATATAAATAATTAAAACATTGTCTTCGATGTAGATTCATACTCAATTTTGATTCGGATATAATTTTATCTATAAAATAATCACAAATTACAAAATTGCAATAGAAATCTAATCGTATATTATTTATAGAATATGTATTAACAATATGTTCGATTCCGTCAGTACGTTGATATATTATCAACATTTATACGTATTTGAGATTCACGTTTAAAACAATAATTATTCAAAAATATACAATTGATTACCTATGCAAATATTTTGGCTAATTTTTGTAGTTCCATGATTATTTTTATGATCAAAAATCTAGCCGAATTAATCAAAATTAGATTTCACAATACAACTGAAATCCACAATATAACTACTTGGTGTGTCTATATACGTGTATGTGTATAAATGCGTGTCGACACGCTTTTTGGATAACGGAAGCATATAAATGTACATCACAAGATGCGATGTATTTCCTTACATCCTCTTTGTAATTTGTAACGGTTAAAGCTTAATACGACCTATTTGTCACAAAATTGCAAAAAGCTGACAATATCACACAAATGAGTTTGTCTACAATTATCATTATTTATAATCCAAAATTACATTATCAGTTGCAAAGGGTAATTTATACTTTATCTAGACAATTATTTAGCTTTCAACATTACTATTTGCATCGCATGAAAAATAATGGTCGTTTAAGAAAAACATGAAAGAGGATAATAATTATTAAATTATTATTTGTTCATCAATAATGAGATTTATCGTATGAAGGAAACAAGTTCGCTCTTTTATCTTCTCGATTTTCCTTTTCTTTTATCTTCATTTGTACTCCAAGACGAAAAAACAGCGTCATCGAATTGCGAGGACATAGATGCCAATTTTATCCGAAAAAATTTGATCGATGAATAAATGAGCACAAAATTAAGATTATTCTTTTAATCAACAAGAAGCTCGAAGTGTACGGACCCCAGTTTATCGTTTCGATTATGAATAATGTTCTTTGCCCATGCTTTGCATTCAACATTTATTATAACACCAGCTGCAAAAAACAATTGTTTATATATAAAAACAATGTTATTATTTACTATTATTCATAATTATCAATTGAATGCTAATGGTCAAGAATTGTGTAATTGATAAAATTATTTATGTGAGGATTTTATTGCTGTGTAAATGAGAATAAAATAACATGATTAATTTAAATAAATTTGTAATATATACATATATATATATATATATATATATATATATATATATTAAATATAGTAACAAAGAAAGAAATATTTTAAACTATATTTATCAATATTTATCGATTTTTATCGAAACAATCATAATCAATATTGTACATGATCATTATCAACTTTAAAATTACTTTGATTAATTATTTATATAACTTTATTAAAGAGATCATCGGATATTAGAATTTATCAAATTATTTGACAAACATACAATTAATAAATTATCAATAATCGTACGTCAGATATATTTCAATCAATATAAATATAAATAATTAATAATCTACAATGTAATGATTTTTTAAAGCGTGCTTAAGAGCTCATTTTTTATTTATAAAGATCAATTTAATTGCCAGTTTTACTGCGAATTATGGCGTAAAATGAAAAAATCCTTCATTCATACTGTATTAATTTATTAATTTATTAATTTTTTTAATAACATTTTTCATTTATCTATTATTTCAAAAAGTGAGCTTATAAAATATATGCTATCAGACATAAAGTGTAATATTGTAAAAGACATTATTTCTACTAATTAAAAGTTTCCATATTGTAAATTCAAGAATATTATATTCAAATTATCTTTAATCGATTACTTTACTTTATATTTTATTCCAGTAATCACTTATATTAAACTATATGTTTATTTATCCTTTTTAATATTCCATAAAGTATGGAATATATACATATAATGATTATCAAATATCATTTGATTAAATTTGAATCATTCGAATCAAATTAAATCATTTGATTAAATAATTTATAAATATCATTGTAAATATTAAAGTTGTACGTATAAAAAAAAAATTAGAACGATTACTTACTTCGTGGTCTTTCAAAGTGTACAGCCACTAAAGGACTCAAGTATCCTTCAGAATTTTCATAAGGATAATAATAACCCGGAAAGCCAAGCCGCGGATGAATATTCACGGGGCCAATATTTTCCTGATCAGCAGGATTTTCACCTTCACACGATACCCAAACTGTATTACGTTCATTGGGATTAGATATACTTTTTATTGTCCTCTTTAAATCTTCAGGCATTTTATCCGGTAGTGATGACGTATCATTGTAAAATTCTGGCCTCCAACCGAATATCTAAAAATATATTCAATGTACTTTATAATTATTTATAATTATTTATAATTATTTATTATTATTATTATTATTATTATTATTATTATTAGTAGTAGTAGTAAAAATTTACTGTCGTACATTAAATGCTAATTTTTAAAATTTTAAAAAACTAAATTATTAGTTACTTCGAGATGAATTTTTAGGAAGTTTCTCAAACATTAAACATGCTTATCCACATTACTTATATCATAAAAGAATTCCAATAATATGAATACACAATCAATACAAACAGATATTCAGCTTTTAATAAATAAACAAGTCCTTACTTTGTTTAGTTTGAGGAATATACAAGGCGAGGACGTGTGGTATCCATAGTGATTTTCAACTGTACAGGGGAACCAATTTTTCACATCAACAGCGCAAACTTGTCCCGGCCCAGGTGGGTGATCGTAATCGCAATTGTGAATATTCGCTCCGCGTCCAGGTGTCAATCCAGGTGTTCGGTAAACTATGGCCAATGAATCATTCATGTTAATTGTATGTTATTAATTTTTTTGTATAAATTCTGCATCGTAAGGACTAATAAATATTATTTTTCTAATGAATGGTGGATAAAAAAATGTCTTCACTGACGTATTTTGCGAAAATAGAATCGATATGTTTTCCATTAAATACTACTTATCTCCAGATACGCATGTAACGAGTACCTTTTCAAATAATTCAATTTACTACCATCAAAAATATGATTCGTAAAGGTATATAAATTATAATAATATATAAATTCATTCCATTACCTTGTAAAAACTTTTCTAAAGAATCGACCCAGTGCTTGTATTTTCCTTTTTCAGTTCCTTTATACCAAATCAATGTACTTTCTACATTTTCGTCGGGCGGCAATGGTCTGAATCCTAGACCTAAAATAATTAAAACAAACTAAATGCCTTAACTTGTAATTTAATTATAAATTTTTTTATAGCATTAGCGACCTCAATTGCAATCTTAAAATCTAATTTAATTGTATTGCTTTACCTTCTTTAGATTGTAATTTACAACTTATATGTAACAATTAAATAAAAAATAATTATTAATGAGTTGTTAGTTTTGGAAGGTGAAAACTAAATTTTTTTTTTAATCATTACCGAATCAGAATTACATTAATAACAAGTTATTTTTCTATTTAATTCTTGTATGTAAAAATAACAAGGCATTCGCACAATAACTATAGAACAATAAATTTTAAATAGTAAACATATTTGCAGTGAAAGTATTTTATACATAAATTTAAAATATTTAATATATTATTAAAATTAAATTATAAAATGTATACATTCTAAGTATTTTCGATAATTTTAGAATTCCTAATATATATATATATATATATATATATATATAGTATTGATATTCAGTTTACATACAATACAATTGATTAAGTGTATTATAACTTTATTAATATACATTATACAATTGCTACGTTTCATTTATAATTATGTATTTTATAATAACGTTCGATAAGTTACTGAAAATAACCAAATACTATATGTTTCATCAACGTAAAAAAACTGTTCGTAGTATTGTTTGAACAAACCTACTCCGTTTTTTAATAATTAAAAAAACTCGATGATTCAAGGTTTGTATTTATAATGTATCTATTAATTATGTGCATTCTTTTACTGAAATACACTGTAAATATCATATATAATACCTGGATTGGTACCAATAATTGATCGTTCCAATTGCCACGTGGGTCTTCGTGGATCAAGCGTTTGAAAGAATCCCCAAAAGCAAATTGCAACCAAGGCCGCTAATACTCCATAAAATATGAGATAAAAAAGGCCGATCTTTCCTGCAAGAAAAAAAGCTTAATTTTATAAGAGCTTAAGATAAGATTATACGGAAGCTGTGATTCTCTTTTCCATAATACTTTGATCGGACTTTAGATTGAATACATTTTTCATTAATGCGTAATAATTTAAGTACAATATTATAAAAATATTACATTATCAAAACTAAATTGTAAAATGTTTTATAAATTTAGTTTTTTTTTTGTTTATATCATAATCGACTAATAAAAATTAATATAACACGAATAAAAATTTGTTTATAATTACTCATATGTAATTTATTTTCGTTTATAATATAATATATTTAAAATTAATTTTATATAGTTAATAATTATGTTTAAATTAAATTCTTATTCACTACTTATATAATGAAGAATACTTATTTAAATGAAAGTATAAAATACATAAATTTTAAAGAATCATTATTCTTCAGTTTCAGTTATACCGTATAAATTATATAATTACGACTTAATGTTTATAAACAGGCAGTAAGGAATTATTTGTTTAAGATATAATTTGTAACTGTGCGTGCACAAAAGCGCGCGAACGAATGTTATAACACAGGTAAACGGGTGAGCATAGTCAAACTCAGGCAATGTTGTTACGAGACTGACTCTGCTAAGCTCAAAAAGATCAGTCAAGCTGAATAATTCAATTAATTTTTTTTATATGTTATCAAGGTCATATAGAGTACAGATTTTTAAAATAGTAAACACCAACAATTTTATATCTATATATATTTTAATGCTCATAGTTCATCTATAGCACATGAGGCCCTGAAACACGATATGCCATAATTATTTTTCTATTTTGATCTGCTTATCACCCTCCCGCCGTTTTTCTCTTCCATTTTCTTCCCGTCATTGTTTATATAAATTAAAAATATTTATGTTGATAAGATGTTCATTATATATTCTTAGTTTGTAATATATAATAAAGATAAAATTGCAAATGAAAAATACTTTACAAAATAATTTTAATACTAATTAATTAAAATAATCTCTAATCTAGTATAAACCTCTAAATGATTTTAATTATTAAAACAAAATTTAATGTTGGGCAAAATAGAATTGATAGATATATTTAATGATAATATAGTATGTAATATATATATATATATATATATATGTATATATATGTTATAATATTTGAAAATCATACCAATATATGACTATATGTAAAATACTATTTTTCTATAATTTAATTATCTATATAATAATAATAATAAATATTGAATTATATAGATCTCATTAATAAAATACTTATGATTATGATTAATTAAATATCCATTATAATACTATGAATTATAAAGTAAATAACACAATATTTGTTATCAATATTTGATGACATTATTTAATATATACATAAAAAGTAATAATAATTGAAGTTGATACACTTTGTCATGACATATTAACGAATAAAATTAAAGTTTTATGTAATAATCCTTCTTTATCGGCTAATACATTCTTAGAATAAAAAGATGATTTATCTTTATTTAGGTATATATTGATGTTAACTCTATTTTATACCTTTCCATTAAAAAGCTGTATACGCATCATAAAAAATTATGATGTATGATGATACACGATGGCTTATTTATAATAATAAGTTACTAATAATAGTTTTTTTAATTAGTACTTATCAAGACTTAAAATTAAATACAAAGTAGTAGCTAAAATGTATTATTTTGAAACAAATACTTAATATATAGATCGAGCAAATTTCGGTGTCGAAAGTGAGCATAGATGATTAACGCTTTTTAAATCAATTAATACCAACGAACTATGTAAATATTCATATTTTGCAAACATTGTTTTTAAAAGACTTTGAAAGAGATACCAACTGTAACCTATGATCTAGCATTTCATCTTTGATAACAATACAAATATATCAACTACAATAATTAGTGCAAAATAACGATAGTTGCTTATAGTTATTAGATGGAATTATATATAAATTAAATGTCATTGGCAAAGTACCAGTTACTTTTATGATATTGTGCAAATCAAATATTATTTTCACAATGTCGCACATTGTAGTAATAAATACAAATTGACGTATATCCTAACTAAAAAATTCTAACTATTAGAACTGACTGGCTGTAGCCATACTTACCAAGCTAAAGGTCAATATTTATCATTAATACTATTAAAAATTATATTGACGGCACTCTTAATTAACGAATGATATTTGATTTATTACTAAACTTTAAATAGATTAAAAAATAAACAGTACAATACAAATTTCACAGCATCAACTTCTAAAGGTTTATTAACTAATATGTACATATAAATTTATATTATAATGGGTTTTACAAACTTTTTAGTTGTGTACATCAACAAAATAATTCAATAACCATACTATTAATCAAGAAAAAATAGTTTATTATCTTTTATAATTATACTTTATAAGATTTTCAATTAAATCAATACATTGTAAATAAAAATTACAAAGAAATGGATGCAAACATTTCGATGGCAATTACTGTAATATAATATTGTATATATATGGTAACATCGATTGCTTTAAATAAACAATCACATTGATTATTAAATTTTATAATTCGTATTGATAAAATTCATTAAATGCAATAGTATTATATCATATTTTATAAAATATCATTCGTAGTGTAATATGTATTTACTTGATTAAAGAAAATAAAAAAGTTTAATAGAATATACGATGAATATTACGATATATTTGAAAAATTGAAAAGAGCTATTTAAATCGGTAAAAATAATAATGATTTATCGTTCGAAAGTTAGAAATATCTGAGATCAAGTGGGCTTGTATTAAGTGTTATTGCATTTGATATTTATAATTTTGACGAAATATGAAAAATAGTTATATAGGTGTCAAAAAGAAAACAAAAACACTAACCTAGAATGTAAATTTAAAAAAAAACCTAAACTGTAAAATATTTTCTATACATTGACACTGGTAATTTTCAACATATATTTTTTCATAATTTGTTATTATCAATATATAATAAAAATAATAAAAATTATCCAAATAAGGTATGAAAGTTGAATCCCAAATAAAAAATCACATATATGATATTGAAACATTCGCTAATATTAAAAAATTAATCGTACGATATTATATGATGTACAAATTCTGTAAATTCAAAATTCTGCAGATCAAAACTTTTCTCTTCAACATTAATTTTAGTATACAGCAAAAATAATTTATAGTTGTAATATTAATTATCACGGATCAGATTTCAAAATTCATAAATAACGTCGTTTACAAATGGTACTAGGTAATATCGTTGAAAGAGTATAAAATTGTCTAAAATAGTGTATAATACTATATAAAATAATATAAAAATTATATATTCATAGATTAAGATTACAGGTAAAACTTGAAAAATGAATTGCGCAGTATAACCAAGAAAATGGGAAGCATTGTAATCATTTTTCATATTATAAAATCACTTTATCATATTATAAAATAGACGCAATAAGATATTTCAAGCGAATGGAAAAGGGACAGACAACCGAGGTGGCAAGTAAACACTGAGATACATCGGTTAAACATGGTGGCCGATTTCCCAGAGTTGATCCTAAAAACCAACGCTCAATCTCGAGCGCGTATCTCTTTCTCTCTTGGTTTCCGTCGTGCACTTCGTGAGTGTACCCTTCAATGGCTGGCCCTAAGTTACGCAATGGCCCCGTAATGCTTCGCCGTTTAATGTCAATTGACCTCGTTGCGGCGCACTTGCAGAGGAGGGGGGAGTTCAACAATTGCCATTCAGAGTCGCGACGATGCGCGCGTGTACATTGCGGCACCCGGGAGCGAAGAGACGACCTAATGTATGCAATGCGCTTCCGCCAGTCACGAAGTGGGGTGAGAGAGGATGCGGAGGTCCTGATGTCGGTTTTTTGTCCATCCGTGTTCCAAGGCTGTCCACTTTAGTCTTTCACTTTTTTCCCGAGAGGCGCACCGCGCTTTTCAGCAATTTTCCGTTTCCTGCCATTTGCCGGACGATATTGCTTATAACGCTTAACGTCGACACTCTTATAGAATAATCTTGAATAATGAAAAAAAAGGAAATAATTTCGACTACCCACCCAATCAAGCGACCAACTAATTGATGTAAGTTGAAGAAAACGCAAATTCAAAGCTAAACAAATCCGTCTCGAGGACATTAACAAGATTTTAAATGAAACGGAGATTGCTAGATGATTTGACAAGAAAATTCAATTTACCTAATTGTACGTTATACTTTTTGTAGTATGATTCGGTCAATTGAATTTTCCTGACAAATCATTAGTAAGCTATTTTTCAAATCTATATTTAATAACATCAATTTTATTTGCTTTGACATTTAAAAATTAATTTCTTTTAATTTGATTAGAAAATAATTCAAGCAATACTTTTATATATTCATTTAAATTAACGTTAATTTAACGATATTTTATACAAATTAAATGGAACACAAATTTAGCTTTGACAATAATTTAATAAAAATTCCTTGTATCAATTAACTAGAAGGCATTGATAGTAACTTTTCACTTATTTGATTCGCAAATTTGCTCACTGACACTATTAAAATTATTTAAGACTACAAAAATTACTGTGAATTAGTGTTTTATACACAATAATTGTACATATTCTTATTGTCAATCATTATTAACAACTTAATTCACTTTTAAATGCAACTTCAAGAAGTTTGAAAGAGTATAGTATATATAATGATAGTTTCTAAAATTATCAATTACTTAATTTACTAAATTATGTACTGTATGTAATGAATTTAAAAGAAGACAATTTTTTTTTTAGTCTTTGTTAAAAAAAAGTTGTTATTATTTATATTGCCTCATATTTCATATTTAAAGTGTATAGAAATGAAAAATAGCATTCACGCATAAGCAAGCATATGGCTTATTCGATACTTATTACCGTGTTACCATATTAATATGAAATTGAAAAAAAATGGAAAATTAAATGTTATATATTGTTAAACATACTTTCAACCAATAATTTCAAAAAACAAAAT